TGGTTTCCGATGGTGCTTTTAATCTGAATGTACATGTTTCGAACTTTTATTTTATGATAAACTGTGGGAGCTCAAATTTTATGATTTCGAGGTCAACCGTTGATAATATATACCACGTTTAAGTCAAAAATTATTTCATCTAAGTAGAGTTGAACTAGTGATCTTGACTTTGAGTACTTACTATAAAAATCATTAGCCTACCATCCACTTAATTACATATTTCGAACTTTACATGATTTTTTTTGTTTCCAATGAATCTATGGGCCAAATTTTTTTTTTTCTTTGTTTGGTTGGAGCCATAAATAATTCTGAACCGGCTCTGATTAAAACTCTACTATTCTTTCAAGTTCTAATATATTTTATTAAATTAATGGTTAAAAAAAATCGATCTAGAGGTAAGTTACATGTGGTATGGGTTATAACATATTTTACGTTAAACCGTATAGTACTTTTTAAAAGGACAGAGAAACTTATTCTTTTATATATGAACAACTTTTACAGCCAAAACTATTCGTAACTACATCAAATTATTGTGGGGTTTTCAATTCCTGCGTTTCTCACCCTTGAAAACCATATAAATAATTGTAGAAGCTTCGCATACTATATAGTATTATTTTTTTTTCGAAAATGAACCCTAGTCGAGTTACTCTTTAACCAACAAGTAGGTCGTCCAATAAAATTGTAAAAAGATAGAGATCGGGATTCTTCGTGTCTTGAAATATGAGACTGGGAGAGGTTTATTACAAGAGAGCGGTCAAAAATGAATAATAACAGGTCGGACAAGCCCCGACGTGCAGTAAAAAGAATAGGTGTTGCGCCCGAATTTCACTTCCTAATGAGAGAAGCCATAACTCGGTTCATAAGTTTTACATTTGTAAAGCCTTAAGCCTCACAATGAAGTACTTAGGGGTCGATCCTAAGGGAAGATGTATCTAACACTAGAGTTTGGACTATGCCTATGATGAGCTAAACCTAAACGAAGGTGGTTGTAATGGTATCCAAGCTAAACTAATCCTAAATATAGTGGAGAGAACAAAATGGATAAATGTTTTCGGGTTCTAGGAATTAAGTGTAACCACACATGGAGATAATTAGAATAATATGGGAAATATTCTCTAGTGTTCTAAGGATGAGAATTGTGTAGTGCTCTATGCATAATGAGGAACTTAGACATCTAATGTTCTAACTGCCCACTTCCGTGATCTAGCTAAGCTAACCTAACAAATCTTAGAATCCTAAGCTTCCACTTGGTACTAAGAGTTCATAAGGAGCATTAAGAATAAGGCCTAAATCGTGTTCCTAGAGAGATTCATTCCATAATCTTTCGATTTGCTTCAAACCCCCTAATCAATGATCTTTTGCTCTAAGTGAACATCCATATCCCTATGAGATGCAACACCCAACATAACATGCTTGAGGTCATGAGTCTCAAACAAGCATTATGAACATATCACCAAACCAATACCAAAGAGAACACAAATCTTGTTAAGCACAATCAATTAAAGGCATGAGTCCATTTAAATCTCATCACAAATCCTAGGTGATCAATCAAGGATATGATTCAAAGAAGGCATAAACCCAAAACCTACACTAGATACATTCATGAGTTCATTAGAATCTTAATCATGCTCTAGGTGATTGTGGATGGTAGAACCTGCACAGTCAATATTTGTCAAGAGTTTCAAGAGGATTGAGTCTTTCGAGTACGAAATCACACACAAAGGATTGAAGAGGATTCTTATTGCTGTTTCTGTCAAAGGTTAAGAATACAAGAGTTTCAGTGTCAAGAATTGCGGATCCCCTCTCTCAAAGGGAATACATTGATATATATAGTGAACTAGGTCGGCTAGGTCAACCCAAGAATCAGCTGGGCTGCACCGACCTGCTCGGCCCGTCTTGACTCGTCTTGGGCTTAGTCTGCCTTGTCACGTTCTGGGTTTTTCCTTGCAGCGGGCCTGCCTCGTGGGCTTCCTGGTTGTGTCAACCCATTCCTCTACTGCAAACTTGCCTTTCCCGTCTGGTAAAGTTTCTGGTCTCACCAAGCTTACCATTCGTGCACAATCTCGTAATCTGCCTCACCGAGTATGTTGCCTCGTCGGACGCCGGATAGCTGGGTTTGTCCGGTCGTTTCCGACCCAGTTCCTATACTTAGTCATTTTCTAGCCTTGATCTTACCGGGGTGGAATTCGACCCCTACAGTTAGCCTCCCAACTCGGTAGTATCAGGTGTGATGATGCCGAGGTAAGAGTTATTGCAAAGGTAAGATCAAAGTCATGTCATACTCGCTTCCAGGTGATTGTCAGAAAACCACGTCAATCTTGAGCTCAAGTGATTTTGTAACCGAGCCTAAATTGAACGTTGCCTTCTGAAGACCATGTGACACATATATGTTTCAACCTTGCCCCGTCGTGTTTTGAAAAAGAGA